AGCGTCCCTCCAGAAACCCTTTTAATTGCACATCATGATGCTAGTAGCCACAAACACACTTTTAATACTGTTTGTAATAAATAGCATTATTGTAATAGTTTTTGCAAAGGTTTGGGGGCAGTCACACTGCTTCATTTCCAAAACAGTGCACATCGTGTAACTTCCTGCTGCGATCCCATAACTTTTCTAAACAATAATTGTTCCAGCTTATTTTTGTCCCGCTTTTGTTGTGCTGCAGCCCCTCTTACACTAGTAGTGGGATAGCATTGAGGAAGCATCGCAGAACAAATCAAACCAGAATAAACCCACCACTAATGCGCTATTAGGGATGCGGGTGGCACTGTGGGTTAAACCACAGAGCCTAGGACTTGCCGATCAGAAGGTCGGCTGTTTGAATCCCCGCGATGGGGTGAGCTCCCATTGCCCGGGCCCTGCTCCTGCCAACCTAGCAGTTCGAAAGCATGTCAAAGTGCAAGTAAATAAATAGGTACCGCTCCGGTGGGAAGGTAAATGGCATTTGCGTGCGCTGCTCAGGTTCACCAGAAGCGGCTTAGTCATGCTGGCCACATGACCTGGAAGCTGTACGCCGGCTCCCTCGGCCAATAAAGCGAGATGAGCGCCGCAACTCCAGATTCAGTCATGACTGGACCTAATGGTCATGGTTCCCTTTACCTTTAATTCACTATTGTTATGTTAAGAACAGTGTCTGTCTTAAAAGCAGCATGGTGTGGTGGTTGCAGTGTCAGAGTAGGACCTGGGAGACAAGGGTTTAAATCCAGTCAATGCCTCCCAGCCTAACCTACCTCAAAGGGTTGTTGGGAGGATTAAATGAGGAGGGGTGAAACCATGGATGCTACCTGGAGCTCCTTGCCAGAGAAGGCTGGATATGAATGCTATTAGTAGTAGTAGTAGTAGTAGTAGTAGTAGTATTAAAAGAATAAAACAAGGCAGTTGTTCTGAAGTGGCTGTTCAAGTTAGGGTAAGTTCCAGTCTTAGTTGCATGGTCAGTTCCAAAACAGTTTCCATTGTACTGTGGAGAGTGTATTAACTTATGGTCTGTGTGTGTGGTTTGGGAGCTGCACGGTCAGGGAAAAACAATGTTGTCCAGGGTTGTAAAGACTGTGGAGAGAATAATTGGGCACACTCTTCCCACCTTGGATCAAATCTACGCTTCCAGGTGTCATAATAAAGCTGCAGAGATAGTGCAGGATCGTGCACACCCCAGAAATGATCTCTTTCAGCTTCTGTCTTCTGGAAGAAGATACAGGGTTATAAAGACTAGGACTAGCCGCCTGAGAAACAGTTTCTATCCAAATGCGATTTGGGTTTTAAACGCAGTGTAAGGTAGTCTCTATGGGAGTATATTGTATTTAATTATGGGGTATCAGAGTTTTAGGGGGCTAACCAGGCTGGGATAGCTGGGATAGCAGGCTTGTTGGTTTTTGAATGTCTGGTGTAGATTTTTTCAATTTCGTTGTTCTGTATGGGACAATAACAATAAAGATTATCATATCGTATTGTGATGCTGGGGGAGTGCTCTTCAGCCCTATGGTGACTTCAGTGTGGGCTTCCACAGGGTTTGATTTTATCCCACAACTGCTTAACATCTACATGAAACTGCTTAGAGTTTTGGAGTACGTTGTTATCAACATGCTGATGACACGCAAAAGCCAGTAAAAGTGTGCTTGCCTCTCTGCAGATACAGACCCTATTTTCTAGGGAGGTCCTTGATGTAGAGAAGCCATCCCGGTTTCTGATTTGATCCTGGAATGTCCTACTTTTCCTTAGGATGTCCCTATTTTCATTGGAGAAATGTTGCAGGGTATGGAGCATACCTGTCAACTTTTCCCTTTTCTTGCAAGGAATCCTATTCAAAATAAGGGAATTCCCCTTTTAAAAAGGGAAACGTTGACAGGTATGGAGTTATCCAACCCCTAAGCCGTCTGACACGGGTGGCGCTGTGGGTAAAACCTCAGTGCCTAGGACTTGTCGATCGTATGGTCGGCGGTTCGAATCCCCACGGCGGGGTGAGCTCCCGTCGTTCGGTCCCAGCTCCTGCCCACCTAGCAGTTCAAAAGCACCCTTAAGTGCAAGTAGATAAATAGGTATCGCTTTATAGCGGGAAGGTAAACGGCGTTTCTGTGTGCTGCGCTGGTGCTGGCTCGCCAGAGCAGCTTCGTCACGCTGGCCACGTGACCCGGAAGTGTCTCCGGACAGCGCTGGCCCCCGGCCTCTTAAGTGAGATGGGCGCACAACCCTAGAGTCGGACACGACTGGCCCGTATGGGCAGAGGTACCTTTACCTTTACCTAAGCCGTCTGAAGGCAATCCTGTATAGGGAAATTTAAAAAATAATTAATGTTTTATTATGTTTTTATATACAGTTGTACCTCGGGTTACAGATGCTTCAGGTTACAGACTCCGATAACCCAGAAATAGTACCTCGGGTTAAGAACTTTGCTTCAGGATGAGAACAGAAATTGCATGGCGGTGGCGCGGTGGCAGCAGGAGGCCCCATTAGCTAAAGTGGTACCTCAGGTTAAGAACAGTTTCAGGTTAAGAACGGACCTCCAGAATGAATTAAGTTCTTAACACGAGGTACGACTGTATGTTGGAAGCTGCCCAGAGATGTGGGGCAGCCCAATAAGATATGTGGAGTATAAATAGTAAAATTATCATTATGGAATGGGATGTCCCTATTTTCATCAGAGAAATGTTGGGGGCTATGCTGATATATAGCCATTTTGAAGAACAAGCAAGAAAACCAGCAATAGCTACTTCGTGATTGGCAACATTTTCTTTTTCTCTTTCGAAAAGACTTCCGCTCCTAAGCTGATTAGAGACATACATCTGGAAAACTGAACTTCATCCAAACCTCCTCAAAATGACTGTGCCTGTTAATTTGCCGCATTCGTTCGTTTTGGGGGGAAATGAGAAATTCTGCCACAGCGTAACGTTTCTCTCAGCATGGATTGTGCCAGAGATGCTGGAACCGGGAGGAAATATGGTTTCAGTGTTTCCATGGCACGGAAATGACATTCTGGAGAAGACGGGTGGAAGGCCGCGGAAGGCCTTTGAGCACAATTTGACATACTTAACCTGCCGGCGTTCATGGAGAGCAATTTACTGATCAGTTATTGTGAAAAAGAAGGCCGGGAAAGGGGGATGCCATGCAAATGGAGCCAAGAGACAGAGGGAGGTGAATCCCCGAAGGGTTGAGGCAGAATAATGAAACTGTTCCTCTTCAGAAGCAGGAATATATTCCCATCTTTAATTTAAGAAAATCTGCAATGCTCGTCAGAACATAAGAGCCTGAGAGATCAGGCCATCAAAGCTGGGGGACATCCCTACCACCTGTGAAAGTGAGTTCCATAGTTTAACAAAGGGGTTAGCAAACTTTTTCAGCAGAGGGCCAGTCCACTGTCCCTCAGACCTTGTGGGGGGCCGGACTATATTTTGGGGGGAAAATAATAAATGAATTCCTATGCCCCACAAATAACCCAGAGATGCATTTTAAATAAAAGGACACATTCTACTAATGTAAAAACACGCTGATTCCGAACCGTCCGCAGGCCGGATTTAGAAAGCGGTTGGGCCGGTTCTGGCCCCCGGGCCTTAGTTTGCCTACCCGTGGTTTAACTAGTTGAGTAGTACATTCATTCAGCAACATTCAGTGCATGTGGACTATGTTCCCAATAGCTGAGCTGTACAAGTCAACATTGGTCCATTCTTGCACACAAATACTTACATAAGAACAAAATAAGAGCCTACTGGATCAGGCCATTGGCCCATCTGGTCCAGCATCCTGTATCCACAGTGGCCAATCAGATGCCTGTGGGAAACCAGCAAGCAGAACATGTGCAAAAGAGCACTCCAGTGGTTTCCAGCAACTGGCATTCAGAAGTGGAGGCAGAACAGGTAAAGGAACCCTGGACAGTTAAGTCCAGTCAAAGGCGACTCTGGGGTTGCGGCGCTCATCTCACTTTTCAGGCCAAGGAAGCTGGCGTTTGTCCACAGACAGCTTTCCGGGTCATGTGGCCAGCATGGCTAATCCACTACTGGCACATGGAGGACCATGACGGGTGCCAGAGCACACAGAAACGCCATTTACCTTCCCACCTCAGCGGTACCTATTTATCTACTTGCACCGGCATGCTTGTGAACTGCTAGGTTGGCAGCAGCTGGGACAGAGCAACGGGAGCTCACCCCATCATGGATTTGAACTGCTGTCCTTCCGAGTAGCAAGCCCAAGACACTCAGTGGTTTAGACCACAGCACCACCAACCATCATGGCTAGTAGACCTCTACTCTGTGAAGTTGTCCTCCCTGGAGAGAGCATTTCACAAGCATTCAAAGCTAAATGACACATTCTGGAGAGGCAACAACTCTCAAGGGGTGAAGCAGAGGCAGTGAGGGGCATGGCCTGGGGAGAGTGCCAAGGGCCAGACAGAGAGCACTGGAGGGTCACATAAACCCCCCAAGTCTGAGGTTTCCCAGTCCCGACGGAAGAAGAATACAAAAATTGCCACACACAGAAAACACCAAGCTGGAGCAGAAACTATTACATGACGCCTTCCCTTTGTTTATAACTTCCTCCGAAGTCCCTTATTTCATGCTTCAAGCAGCCTTCCCCTAAATAAAATTGTGCCGTATAAAGTGTTCTTATGATTTCCAGTCCTCATTTCCAGAAAGGCTCTTGCAACTCTCTAGCCATAACCGTGATGAAAGGGGGCCTCATGGAGCCCACTGCAATCATTCTCTGTGATCATCCATCAAGGCGCTTGGTTGCACGAGGAGCTTCTCCTTGGGACAGAAGTGCAGAGGCAGAAAAATCATTGTGCTTCTTCACAGGAGGGGAACGACTGCGGTGCTACCTGGAAAGACAGGCAGCTGCCTTTTGATACAGAGTCAGACCATTGATCCATCTGGCTCAGTAATGTCTTTGCAATGACTGGCAGTGGATCTCCTGGGCTTCAGGCAGGATCCTCTGCCAGCCCTACCTGGAGATGACAGGGATCAAACCTGGGACCTTCTACATGCAAAGCAGACGCTCTACCACTAAGCCATGGAGATGTGCCAAATATAAATGTGGGTCGGCAGGAGTCTGCCCTCAGGTGTGTACAGTTCAGGCCTCCTTGGGGTCTACAGTTCTGCACTATAACCCTAACCCTTCTAAAGTTCCTTAATTTTACAATATTTCTGTAAATAGTCCTTAAATTTTTTCCAGTCTTCTTTCACCGACTCTTCTCCCTGGTCTCGGATTCTGCCAGTCATTTCTGCCAATTCCATGTAGTCAATCACCTTCATTTGCCATTCTTCCAAAGTGGGTAGATCTTGTGTCTTCCAATACTTTGCGATAAGTATTCTTGCTGCTGTTGTGGCATACATGAAAAAGGTTCTGTCCTTCTTTGGCACCAGTTGGCCGACAATGCCCAGAGAAAGGCCTCTGGTTTCTTCAGAAAGGTATATTTAAATACCTTTTTCAGTTCATTATATATCATTTCCCAGAAAGCCTTAATCTTTGGGCACGTCCACCAAAGGTGAAAGAATGTACCTTCAGTTTCTTTACATTTCCAACATTTATTATCGGGCAAATGATAAATTTTTGCAAGCTTGACTGGGGTCATGTACCACCTGTATATCATTTTCATAATATTCTCTCTTAAGGCATTACATGCCGTAAACTTCATACCTGTGGTCCATAACTGTTCCCAGTCAGCGAACATAATATTATGTCCAACATCTTGTGCCCATTTAATCATAGCAGATTTCACCGTTTCATCCTGAGTATTCCATTTCAACAGCAAGTTATACATTCTTGACAAATTTTTAGTTTTGGGTTCTAACAATTCTGTTTCTAATTTTGACTTTTCCACTTGGAAGCCTATTTTCTTATCCAAATTATATGCCTCCATTATCTGATAGTAGTGGAGCCAATCTCTCACTTTATTTTTTAATTTTTCAAAACTCTGCAGTCTCAATTTATCTCCTTCTTGCTCCAAAATTTCCCAATATGTCGGCCATTTGGCCTCCATATTGAGCCTTTTCAGAGCTTTTGCTTCCATTGGTGACAGCCACCTTGGGGTTTTATTTTCCAATAAGTCTTTATATCTTATCCAGACATTAAACAATGCTTTCCTAACAATATGATTTTTGAATGCTTCGTGTGCTTTGACCTTATCATACCATAAATATGCATGCCATCCAAATACATTGTTAAAACCTTCTAAATCCAAAATGTCTGTGTTTTCAAGAAGTAGCCATTCTTTCAGCCAGCAAACAGCTGCTGATTCATAATAAAGTTTAAGGTCTGGCAGGGCAAATCCACCTCTTTCCTTGGCATCAATTAATATCTTAAATTTTATTCTGGGCTTCTTGCCCTGCCAGACAAATCTAGAAATATCTCTCTGCCACTTCTTGAAACAGTCCATCTTATCTACAATTTGTAATGTCTGAAACAAAAACAACATTCTAGGCAATACATTCATCTGCACTATAAGACAAAGGTGCATGCATGCGCACTTGTCTCAAGAAACAATCATAGAACTGTAGAGTTGGAAGGGACCCTGAGGGCCATCTAATGCAACCCCCTGCAGTGCAGGTGTGCTGGGCCTGGGGGTTAACCCGAGCCACGCGTTCCAGGACCAGTCCCGAATCCAATGATTCCGCAAGGAGTCAGTCCAACAGGGCCAAGGCAGGAAACCGGGCCAGGTCAGGCACAAGGTCTCAGGCAGGTTCCAGCAAACAGCAATGTTGCTCCCACAACCTGGGGTGGGGTCCAGCAGCCTTTTATCTCTGATGGGGTAACGGCCGTCCTGATCCCCCAGTGACTCACCTCCCTGTCTTGCCCGAAGGTGAGCACTCCTCCTGCGAGTACTCAGGTCTCTCCTTCTCTCAGACCTGAGTTTCTGCAGCTCAGGAGACGTTGGTGGGTTACTAGACCCAGGGGCCGCCTCAGCCTCTTCCACAGTGGAGCAGCTGTAAGTGATGGCCCAGCTGAAGGCAATGAGGTCATCCCCACATCTGGAGCCATGGCAGGCTCAGGCCCCTGACTTGGCCAAGCTGGTGCGTGTTGCAGGGGAACCTGTGCAGACTGGGGCTCTTCAGAATCAGGCCCCAGACTCGGTTCAGATGCCACCTAGAGGCAGAGGATCCAGTGCAGACTGAGACTCCTCCAGCTCTGAGTCCGAGCCCGAGTCCCAGGCCAGCACAGCAGGAATATTTCACCCAATGTGGGACTCAAACCCACAACCCTGAGATTAAGAATCTCATGCTCTACCAAGTGAGTTATCCAAGCTCATATGGAGGAGTGCACTTTTGGGAGTGAAGCCAAACCGTTGAGAGTTACAGTATCAGAAGTGACTGTAGAGATCAATATGAGAGAGACATGTTTTGTTGCAGCTGGGGAAGATAAAGGCATTCGGTTGTGCTGCTGCAGATGGCCCATGATGTTTCTTCTTTCTGCATTCCTCCCAGTGGTCATTCCTTCTCTAGTCACCCTGTGGATACACAACTGTCTGTCTCCAGGTGCTGCAAGGGATTCCCATGAAGCGGGATGAATGTTGCCAGTCTTCACGCCATGCTTGCAGACATCTTTGTAATGCAGAAATGGTCTGCAAACAAGCCTGGTGCCTGAAGCCAGCTCCCTGTGGAGCACATCCTTAGGCATCTTCCATTTTGTGGTCATGACCAAGCTAGTGTAGATGTCACTGAGGCAGGAATGTGAATGTGCTGGGAATGTGGCCTTGGGAGAGCACATCTTTGTTTGTGACTCAGTCCTGCCATGTGATGGCCAAAATCTTCCTGGTGCAGTGCATGTGGGAGGCATCAGTCCTGGCAGATGAACCATAGCTCAGTGGTAGAGCATCTACCAGGTTCCAGGATTCAATCCCCAGAATCTTCAGGTGGGAATGACTCCTGTCTGAAACTCTGGAGCGTTGCTTTTGGTTTGTCTACACCAGGCATGTCCAACTTGGGACTGCGATCTACTCCCACTATAAATAAACTGGCAGTGATCTACCCATTGGATTGACCAGAGCTGTTGAACTTTTTGGGATGAAACTTCACCAAAGTTGGGTTTTTTTTGGGGGGGGAGCGATCAATCAGGATCCTGCGATGGACCATGATCGACCACAGACACACCACAATTGACCTGTAGATCACGATCAACAAGTTGGACATGCCTGGTGTAGACAATACTGAGCTAGATGGACCAATGGCCTGACTCCATACAAGGCAGCTCTCTATGTTCTCCCATAATAATGCATGGCTTCCATCAGTCCATCTTGCCTTCTGCAAACAATGCCCTCCTGACGTTTAATAGGTTGAAGCTCATTCACTGGGTGACTTTGGGCCAGTCACCTATTCTCAGCCTTTGATGGGTTCTTGTGAGGAGAAAATGGAGAGGGGAAGAACTCTTGTGTGCCACCCTGGGTATCTTGGGGCTATGGGGGATAGAAATGCAATGATAAAATAAAGCAAAATATTTCCCTAGTGCAATATAAGTGAGCTCTATGGGGCAAAGGCTCAAATATGTGACTGCCACTAGGGTTGCCGCCTTTGGTTGGGCAAAATACGGGACAGGACAAGCAAAATAAAGGACTGGGAGGCACACACATCATGATGCAAAAACAAAAAAATCCTTGTGGAGGGGGGTTCCCCGCATTCAGTTTACTGCCTCCCTCACCACCCTGGCTCTGCTCTTCCCTTCAACTCACCTAGATGGGCAGAAGAAGAAGAGTTTGGATTTGATATCCCGCTTTGTCACTACCGGAAGGAGTCTCAAAGCGGCTAACATTCTCCTTTCCCTTCCTTCCCCACAAGAAACACTCTGTGAGGTGAGTGAGGCTGAGAAACTTCAGAGAAGTGTGACTAGCCCAAGGTCACCCAGCAGCTGCATATAGAAGAGTGGGGAATCAAACCCAGTTCACCAGATTGCGAATCCACTGCTCTTAACCACTACACCACACTGGGCAGGGTAGACAGCTGCCTGCAGCTCCATCTTCTCACTCATGCTGGCATCAGAAGAGACTTGAGTGCAGAGGGGGAGGAGGGAAGAGGAGAGGTCAGGTTGGCGTGGCAGAGGAGGCCAATTGGCAGCAGACCTGCACCACGCTAGACCAGTGGGCAGCAACTGAGGAACACCAGCGAGAGAGAAGGAAGGGGGAGACGAGGGAAGGAGGGAGATAGATGAGGTCTTTCCTTCCCTGTTCTCTCTATTGTCACACACCCCAGGCAGGGCTCTTCGTCAGCCACACCAACAGAGACACAACTGCAATTCTGAGTTGGTGGAGATCAAATACAGGAAGAAAGGCATCCCGTTTGAAGTACAGATGGGACAGGGGGCAAAAACAGGGTGATTCTATTTTTCTAGGGACGAGTGGCAACCTTAACTGCCATGCAGGCTTGAGACCATAGGAATTAAAGATGCTGAACATTTCCAAGAGAGAGAGAGAGAGAAATGTGCAAAAACCACCGTGGATGGAGTAAGCTTGTTCTGGCAAAGGGCGCTGCAAAGCTTTGAGTCTCATATGTTGACCTTTTCGTGGGGTGTGTGTGTGTATGGTGCATTTTGAGCACATTTCCAGCTCCAGCGTTGCAATCCAATCTTTGCAGCGAATATTTAAAAATGCCTTGGCAAGCCTTTGTCCAAATTCCAAGGCTGGGTTCTTTGAAATCACGGCAAAACTCTCTCTCCAGGGAGGCATCATAGGGAGAGAGCTATCTTTGCAGCTCACCCTTCAATGCACTTTGAACAAGCAACTGCTTTTACTGTAAGCATGTTATTCACGGTCTCTTTTGAAAAGCAAGAGATAGGACCCTGGAAAACGATGTATTGATTTTTCTACCACTTCTTCCCTGTCCTTGTTTCAATCACAGCTGGTTTGAATGGCTTTCATTTTTAGCAATGACATGAGATTCTTCAGGAGTAAGCAGGAATGTATGTGTGCGCGTGAGACGGAGAGGGAGGGGGAAGCTTTAGAGATTCCCAACTTAAATAACATCACTGCTCAATTTAAGCTTTGGAGGAGGAGAAGAAAATACTATTGATGTTTTTAATAGGCCTTTGGAGCAGCTATTGGAGGGTTGATAATAGCTACAGTGTGTTGGACTCGCGGGCCATTTTGTTCCTCCTCCTGCACATGCTTTAACGACAAATGGTTTAAACCTTGGCTTGCTCTGCTTCTCTGGATCAAAGGTCTCCAGAACATGAAAGCTTTTTGCTCTCAATATTTAAGGAAGGAAAGGTGGCAGGGGAGTCAATGGATGTATTTTGTACATAAGGACTGGGGTGTGTTAGGAGCTATCCCATCTAATCATGATTTCCACCTCCTGCTCCATCGCATCCTGTGTTTAAATCGGGAGTGGGGAAACTCAATCCCCCTGGGTCCTTCACTTTAGGCCATGGGACTCTCCCCAGGACATACTCCCTTCTCTCTACACCCCTTTGAGGTAGGCAAGGCTGAAAGACGAGGGGACGCGGGTGGCGCTGTGGCTTAAACCACAGAGCCTAGGACTTGCCAATTGGAAGGTCGATGGTTCAAATCCCCACGACGGGGTGAGCTCCCGTTGCTCAGTCCCTGCTCCTGCCAACTTAGCAGTTCGAAAGCACGTCAAAGTGCAAGTAGGTAAACGGCATTTCCGTGCGCTGCTCTGGTTCGCCAGAAGCGGCTTAGTCATGCTGGCCACATGACCTAGAAGTTGTATGCCAGCTCCCTCGACCAATAAAGTGAGATGAGCGCCACAACCCCAGAGTCGTCTGCGACTGGACCTAATGGTCAGGGGTCCCTTTACCTTTACCTTAGGCTGAGAGACTGGCCCAAGGTCACCCGGTGAGCTGGTGGCTGAGAGGATATTTGAGCCCTTGTCTCCCACGTCTGAGTCCAGTATTCTAACCGCTATACAGGGGTACCCTGGTTCTCAAACTTAATCTATTCCAGAGGCCCATTCCAAAACCAAAGCGTTCCAAAACCAAGGCATGCTTTCCAATAGAAAGTAATGCAAACCTGATCAATCTGTTCCAGACTTTTAAAAACAACCCCTAAAACAGCAATTTAACTTGAATTTTACTATCTAACGAGATCATTGATCCATAAAATGAAAGCAATAATCAATGTACTATACTATAAAATAAATTAAGACAGTATTGTAGATGACATTTTTTTTTAAAAAAAATATTCCCTTAGCTGCACTGATGATAGTCATTGTTTGCCTGGGGGGCTTTTATCCATTTCCGCAGTCACACAATCAATCAATCTGTAGCTGAACTGGGTTCCACATAGTCACAAAAACAGATTAACCGAAAAAGCCTCAAAAACAAAAACGCAAAATAATAGCAAAAACAAAAGTGCCAAACTTAATCCGTTCCGGAAGTCCATTTGACTTCTGAAATGTTTGAAAACCAAGGCGCAGCTTCTGATTGATGCAGGTGCCCAGGAAACAATAGCCAACAGCCGCATTGGACGTTCAGCTTTCAAAAAACGTTTGAAAACCAAAACACTTACTTCAGGTTTTCGACATTGGTGAACCAAGGCGTTTGAGTACCAAGATACCACTGTGCTGGCTCCTTGCGAGATCTGAGGGATGAACAGTCTAGGGTGGCTGATGAGTTGTTTCAGTCCCTTCTCTCAAACATTCTGGGCTCCCACTTCTGGGAGTGGAGTCTGGTAACTCCTCTTCCTTTTCCTCAGAGGGGCATGAGCAGGGTTTCAGACCCCCTGAAATCCTACCCAAATCAACCCTGCATAGCTGCCCTGGGTCATGAACCACCAGAGCTTTAAGACGGAGCATCCCCACCCATACAATTATTATTTTTAGATTACTATTTATTGATTTTCCAAAAAATTGCTGTTCTTTAGTCATGTCCGACTCTTCGTGACCCCATGGACCAGAGGACGCCAGGCATTCCTGTCTTCCACTGCCTCCCGCAGTTTGGTCAAACTCATGCTGGTAGCTTCAAGAACACTGTCCAACCATCTCGTCCTCTGTCGTCCCCTTCTCCTTGTGCCCTCCATCTTTCCCAGCATCAGGGTCTTTTCCAGGGAGTCTTCTCTTCTCATGAGGTGGCCAAAGTCTTGGAGCCTCAGCTTCAGGATCTGTCCTTCCAGTGAGCACTCAGGGCTGATTTCCTTCAGAATGGATCGGTGTGATCTTCTTGCAGTCCATGGGACTCTCAAGAGTCTCCTCCAGCACCATAATTCAAAAGCATAAATGCTTTGGCGATCAGCCTTCTTTATGGTCCAGCTCTCACTTCCATACATCACTACTGGGAAAACCATAGCTTCAGCTATATGGACC